ATACCACAAGCAACCTATTGACTCAGGCCTTGAAGACACCCGGTTTATCCCTTAAGGAAATACAGACTCTGGCAAAGAATTCAACGCCTTAGTAGGCACAAGGAGGCTTGATGCGAAGCACTTCGTGCGTACATCTACCATGAATCGATGACGCGTCGCAGATTGTCTTGTGGTACGATGATGGAAAGGACTAAGGGGAATCAAGTTGTGCAATTTCCCCACATACTCATCGAAATGTATCCGTTTTTGTGAGATTGTGGTAACTCCCTGATCGAGGCGACCCACTCGTCTCAAAACATGTATCCAATGTTTACTTTTTGAATTGCCTCGTCATGTTTAATTATAGATTTGTGATATTAAACTCAAGAAAAAATTATAAACAATGATTTATTGCAATGATTAATTGAACATATTTTCTTCTCAACAGCCGCCTTAGGAAACTCGAAATACGGTTACTCCCTGGTACAGAAAGGAGATCTGGAATACTTTGAAGTTGGACCAGAAGTAAACTCCTGTGAAATCATTGGAGAACCAGTTATATCACTTGATTCTAGTCTTCAAAACGTTATTGACCAAGGTACGTACAAAGAGACTATCATTTTTCCTTTCATCTATCAATATACATAAAAAAGGAATTTCCATTCGTTAGTCTCGCGAAAACACGAGAACGGCTGAATGGATTTGGGTAATTTTCGTCTTGAAATGTTTGTGGAAGTCCAGGGAAGGTAAAATGTGAGAAAAACTTTTAGGCGGTAGGAAGTTTGCCTGGTAGTTTTAATATATCTAGTTGTGCTAACGACAAATTAATATTTGTCCTTAGTAGATTACCTTTTGTAACACCAGAGACAAAGCAAATTGTTACATCTGGAATATCTCAAAATAATTATGTAACAAAAGGAACGTTGTAGTGAAAAAATAAAAAACAGTATTTTGTACGTGTTACTAAAAAGTTCTTCGCTGCACTATGACAATTTATCTAATAGGGATTGTCTCTTTATATTGATTATACAAATCTTTGGCATAAGGAAAACAAAGTAGTAACCTACAAACATAATGCCACTTGAGCTTCTTGCGTGTCAATCGCATTCAGATAACACCCACATCAGCTGGTACTCGTGTAGGCCCTCCTGACACAGCAGCTTTGGGATTTCCCCTTATTTTCAATGCAAAACAAAATAATAGTGATTAATAAACAATTAATTTGTTGCTATGAATGTAAAAGGTCATAGTTGTTCATAACGATAACATTATTTATGTTGCCAACTAAGTATGTATGAGTAGGACGATGGCCTTTGGGAAATGGCGTGAGATATGGAACTGAATGATTATCAACTAAATTGTTACATCATACAATTACATTTTTCACTGATTTTTTAAATCCTTTTTTTATCCTAGAAATTCTTTTAAATCTTAGCTGTGGATCATATAGCATCAGTTACATATAGGATTACAAGAAGCAACTTTTTTAACATTTAACTCCTATTTTTTTTTTCAGATGCTGATGCTAGAGCACTGAAGCCTTCTTTTAATACTAAGAAAGAAACTTTGAGGAAGAACACACTGTGTCGTATTGTGGAATCCGCCTATACTACTGTTATCCATAACCTTAGATCTTCTGCAAAAATCTATCCGTGCCGTGCCTTCTTCAATAAAATGTGTAAATAAATAAATGTTTTTTTAATATATATTTTTTATTTGTAGACTGTGTGTCTTAATACGCTTCGATGTTTAATCAAGATATCCGAAACGTTTTAAAGGAAATTCTATAATATCACAAATAATATTTTAAACAAGGTTTACAAGACGTTGTCTTATGTTGATATACATATACTTTTGTTTATAAAAATAGTTTACAACGACTGACTTAAATATCCACGACAGGGCAAAAAAGAATCTCCAAGTGAAACAAAACATAGGCAACGCTTCTACCAGACTAACCTAATTTATCAAGTAAACCTAAGACCAACAATATTCTATATATCTTATTCATTTTTAACAGATTACCATGCAAATATTTACCAACAAGAAAAAGATGCATTATTTCCCAGAGGTTTTATTAAGTAACTACTTTTTAAACATTCATAGTAAGACGTAAAATGGCGCTTACTAAACTCTTCCTGTTGAGGAAAATACTGTAAAAACAGGAAGCTATTGTGGATTTTATATTTGTTAAACTTGTACATTTTTAGGACTTCTCCGGTGACTACACTGGTACCTATACATATATATTTTTTTTATTGTTAGTTTAGTTACGTACGGCTCAGCATACGAGCAGATGGATTATCTGTTGATAATAACATAATGCAACGGCGCTGCTCATAAGTACCATATCAGAGGAGATAGTTACAATACAAGCGCATCGCGTCACCGGTCTTTCGAAAATTTCGGCCTGATGCCTGATGATGCTAATGATGACATAACTAAAAAACAATAATGGAACAATAGGACATTAATGAGCACTTCTCAAGATGTTACTAGGCAGTAGGTACTGAGTAATATTAAGATGATAGGTACCTATAACTAGATTTTTTATTACAAGAGATGATAATAAAAAGTCTAACCCTAGGGAAATTTACACAGTAAACATTGAAAAAATAACTCTTTTTCTACCTATTTCTGTTCTCTTTAGACTGAATCCCTTGAGTGTGTCTGTGACGTGTACCTACTTTTCGAAGAATCACATTTATTGTGCCTTTAGTTGATTTTTTTTTGGCATTATTGTTAAGCAGATCCAAAAATTACTGGTAAAAAAGTCTAAATTCAAAAAATAACGAATAAAAATACCCCATACATTTCTCCAAGCATATACCTCTATTATATTCAGAATGGGTATGAAATGCTCAACAATCTTCAAATATGATTAAACAAAAATCAATGACGTCTCGTAAATACCCGAGCGAACTCCGGTATTTTCTCTCCACTCACTCTATTATAGACGTTACTTATTTCTAATTTTTAGAGACTACTTTAGTATGAATAAATTATGTGGATTTCACATGCATTTATTTTTGCTTGGAATACAAAATAAAATACAAATGACAGTAGCCATTGAAACAGCTATACCTAAAGATAAAAATTCACAAAATAAATTTAAATGTCAAGTACTTCATTTACAGCTATCGAAATAGGTAAGCAAGTATTTTTAACCGACTTCAAAAAAGGAGGAGGTTATACGTTCGGCCGGTATGTTGCTTTTTTTTTGTATGTATGTACGCACATAACTCTGAGATGCGTGAAGCGATTTACAAAATTCTTGTTTTGTTTAAAAGGGTATACTCCCGAGATGGTCCCATTTCCATGAAGTCAGGATCTGATGATGGGATCCTAGGGAAAACGAGGGGAACTTTCGAAAATTCTATGGGCGAGTAATGCGTCTATTATGTTTTTCAATTACGATTTTTAAACACTACAATTTGATAAGGGTCTGGAGTCGACCTGATGATAGAGCAGTGTAATTGTTAAGGGAACTCCTCAACGGTATACTGTAACTACCTTGTGTTTGGGCTTGTATAATTTGTATTGATTAGAACTTTGCACCTATGTAGATTATAAGTAACAAAACGGGTATAATTATGTAGCTTTACTCTGAAAATGATAAAATAATAAAATAAAAACTGCGTTTAAGGCATTGGCTGCCAATAAAAAACTGTTGAAGGCAAATCCTCCGCTAATGTCGGTCACCGGTGACTGCCATGGCGTTTAACGTGTTAAAAAACCGACTTTTTATTTTCTTAATGTCAGTTTTTATTTTATTAATGCTCAAACTGATAGAAATCACACACAGGTACGTACATACATAAATCTTGAACCTGAGGCGTCAAGGTCGGTTATTTACGGTCAACAACTACAGGTAAAGAAGTGACTATATCTGATAACTGACCTAGAAGAGAAATTTTATTTCATACCCAAATTGAATTATTTTTATGTACAGTTCAAATGCTTTCATTGAAAAGATTTTTTTTTTTGTAAGCACTTGTTCGCACCTAAAATGCTATTTTGTTTGTAATATCGCCTTTTACCCTTTGGAGTCTTCCAACTTAAATCATCAATAAGTACTAGTACACTGTGGATACATTTTAGTCTGAAATAGATATTTTAGACAGTACTGAAGCGATGGTTCATTATAATTTTTAATATTAGAAAATACTTTAAACTCCCGATAAATTGAAAACTATGTTACAACATTGGAACCTCTCGTCCATAATTGCACAAACAAATCCTTCTGTTTCTCCAAGGAGATTACTGAAGCTTAGCCAATACTTAGACGACAAGAAATCTACACTGGGCCCATGAAGGACCCAGAAGAACTGTCCGTGGAGCTCTTTGATATGCCATACCTAGTTCCCTGCGGTTATTAACGTTCCGTTTTCTTTTACCAAGGGCAGCAGAATGAATCCATTGTCCACTGCCACTATTTCTCGACGCATGCTCTCGTTTATTTTCAGGAAATATTACTTAAGGCACATACCTCACGGTTTGAATGGGTTAGCATTTACTGATCCTCGACTACACTTTCGAAGGATATACCACTTCATGACCGACGAAGATGATGCATTTGATTTGCAGTCAGCAGTGTCCAGACTTGCCTAACCAGGACTCGACTGTCCAGTTCAATCTGACTCCGATTGAGTATGCCAAAAGAATACATTAGTACCGGCTTAACCCAACCGATAAAGACCCGCACCTTGTTCCCGCCTGATAACGAACTTTTCAGTATTTATTCAGGCGGTCAAAGATGCGCTGCTTTACAGATTGCTTCATGTCTGATCCATTAATGCCTAATCCTAATGACGTATCCAGATACCTACTACCAATGATACATACTAACCTTTAATTCTGTTAGTATGTATCATTTGCGGAGAATGATCTCAGTTTTCAAAAATATGCGTTTGATAACTGCGACCTTTGTTATCAAAGTTCTTAGACATATCCCCCACTAAATCAGTGAAAAAAAAATTAAAATATTAAAATGTCCAGATAAATAGGTCCCTGATCAGTTCTTAATCATTTGTCATTTGGACAGCACTTCGGCAACATGGCTGTTTATAGGAGTTTGTTAGTGCTTGCATTTGCTGGCTGTGTTCTTTCCGAATTTGGTATGTGATTTCCTACTAAATTAAATGTCTTACTAAGATTTAGACTTGTCACTGTAGTTTGTATTTTTTGGGCATTGTTTTTTAAATCTATTTCATTGCTGTCTTGATGAAAAGATAAATCCCTAAGTTAAATTAAATATCAGAATACAACTCTGTAATACTGTGTAATCTTTACTTTTGAACATTTGGAAACTATTTAACTATGCGATTCAACTAAAGTAACTCCAAATTTTCAGGTGCACCTTTTGAACCTTGTGACAAGGATGATGTAAAATGTATAAGTACAGCATTTCAATCGTTTTTTGAAAAGACCTTCAATGGTGTTCCTAATCTCGACATTAAAGCTATCGATCCCCTGATCATACCTGAATTGACATATGAGGTCGATCCAGACATGGGCTTGCTCTTTGAATTCAAAAACGTCAATGTCACAGGATTGAAGAACCAACAGATTTTGGACTTCCAGTAAGTACCTCATTATTTATAACCTCTTTCATGTGATTCAAAATAACGATTTTGTATGAAAATTGATGATGCGAATATGCCCCAAAAATGGTTAAACCACTATAGACTACCGGGGTTGTCAGCTAGGCTACCACCACACTGGCTAGACAATTAATAGGACAGAATGGTTTTTAGTCAACAATGCATCCTTTCCAAAAAGGTTACTCAATTCTCATAGCACATTTACGTTTTTTATTCGTTTCACCATCATATAATTCTTTTAGTGTTTAGCAAACTGCATTTCGCTAATTTCTATTATGCCTCCAACTCATACTGGTATTATATAGTCCGTTTTTCTTGGTTTTTGGTATAACACTAACTTTAAATGAAACATTAGCATAAAGTGATAAAACTTCTAGAATTTCAATTCAAGTAGAACAACAGAGATAGAAGTTTTTAATTACTTGTTCATTATCGTGTAGGCTAGTGGCAAACTAGGATATCTTGTTGTATCCTAAAATAATCTATATGCGGACCCGGTGTGCATACGGTTGTGGTGTGCTCTGCGTGGGTTGAGCACCACCGTGTCCTCAGAAAAGTCTCGCGTCCGGTTCTAGTTCAAACTATGGTACGGAGCGAGGGGGACTGGGATGCCGTCTCCTCCTTCTGCGAAGCAGTCATGCTAGCTAAGGAGGAGGTGGGGCGCGTGATGAAACAAATTTCCTCACGCCCTAGCCGTCACGAGAAACACTCTGGGTGTAGCGGATTGCGAGTCGATCTCCGGCCACTGAAAGCACGTGACTCGCCGCCCGACCAGAACCGGACCCGAGCGTACGGAGCTTCGCGTTCCACGCGCGCCTCAAAGAACCATTAGACGACCACAGATGGGGCCCAATAAGGCTGATACCGATACGGAACCGTAGAGGACTTACCTACCATAGGGTTGCCGGGGCTCCGGCTCAAAGTGCAAGAGTAGGAATGGGGTAGCTTTTAGTCAGTAAGAGTCTGGTACTCCCTCTCGTCTTACCCGGGCGGGAGAAGACGTTAGATGATTTTGCCCACTCAAAAAAAGCGAGAATCCATACAGTATCGGGCTTATTAAAATAATCAATGATTTATTTATTATTTATTTATGTATACACATACAACATAAAGGACAACACATACATAAAGTTAAAGTACAAAGGTGATGTTTATTTTTACTGGGACTTTTAAAAATAATCTAATTTCAGTGACATTTTTTATTTTATTTTCAGTCTATCACTGATTGAACAGTGAACTTATTGTTTTTGTTGTTTTTTATATCATTATAATGTATTTTCAAAGACTATTAATTTCTGCTCAAATGCTCAACCGTTTGCAGTGCACTATCCAAGATATGTAAATAACGTCGACATTTTTTACATATTAGTTTATTCTTGGCAGAAAAGCAGCCTCATTTGTCATGTGCGACTAATTTTCGGGTTCAATACCTAGTTCTGGCAATATAAACTAATTATATCACGCATGTTTGTCTACTTTAACATACGAACAAAAAATGTTTATTGTATGTTTGAATTGGATATTCACAACAGTACCATTTGTACACAATGTCCAATTACTTTATCTCTAAGGAAAAAATCTAACTAAAATTGAATTAAAGACCCAGTAGCATAGGTAAGTATCTAAATTACAAAATAACAGAATGACCAAACAGATTACGCAAAATTATCTAAGAAAAATAAGAAACAAAAATGCAACAACTTTGGTCTTGATAGCACTAATTGCGTCGGTCTATATCTGGTTGATAACCTCTTTACATAATTTATTTGCAGTATGGACACTGATAAGAAAACAATTGTATTCAAAATGAAAGCAGAATTGTACATCATGGGTGATGTGAAAATCTCACTGACAAAGCACAACAAAGTATTCAACGGAGTTTATTCAGCTTCATATAGTAAGTACATTTTTATAGGATAAGGCGATAAACAAGTAGACGGATCACCGCTGATGGCAAGCAATCACCAACCGACACTCGTGCAGCACTAGATGAGTTACAAGTACATTATGGGTATTTAGGCGATAAGAGATTTAAGGATTGGCGACTTGAGATTAGAGATGGCGAAGAATCGGGGTTCCAGTAGCCTAATTCACACAGCTGCACATAACGCAAGTGATGTTGACGCCGAATTTTTCTGAAGCTGTGATATCACCTCTGTATAACGAGAAAATACTACTTAACTGATCATTTTCAAATCAGTATTGACTTGTGAAAACCCTAAATAATGGTTTATTTGTATGGTTTATATTGTCCTCTGCGTATCGTGGGTTCGATTCCCGTACAGGACAACTCTTCGTGTAATCCGCAAATTGTAGCTCCCGGTCTGGGTGTCATGTGTATGTATGTTAACTTGTATGTTTGTAAACGCACCCACGATACAGATGAACACCCTAGTGTGAGGCAACGTGTTTCTGAACAAAACAAATAATTAATATATTTTCTTCTTAACAGCCGCTCGAGGAAACACGCAATATGGTTACGCCCTGGTACAGAAAGGAAATGTGGTACACATTCAAATTGGACCGGAAGTACACTCCTGCGAAATCAGTGAAGAACCAATTATAACTCTTGATCAAAGTCTCCAAAACGTCATCGACCATGGTGCGTATATAGAAACCATTATAGTAGGGGAGCCCATGAAGGGATTTCGGTAGTTACTCGAGCGCGTCAGATTAACATATGGGGAAAACCTAGTGTCTTATTGAATATATCACCATATATCCGACCTGATTAGAAGGGGATGGGACTAAAAATTTTTTAAAAAGTTCTGACTAAATAAAGTCAGTTTCGTCAGATTAAGGGAAGGTAGGTCAGTACCATGCTAAAGGAAGTGCGTTTAAAAAATCTGCCCATTCCAACTTGATTTCCAAGAGTGGGGCGATTTTGAAGGGTTCTCGTTTGTACTCTCCAGAACATTCAACCCCACCATGCAAACTGGCAGATTAAGATTTTTTTATTATTAAATACATATGGAGCATGTACACTATCAATATCTGTCACGCTCGACCTCTAGAACAAAAGTTACGCTTAAAAATTTCAAAGATCTGTGGTTTCCCCCTTCCCCCACCGATGGAAGAAATTGTCACTAAACCATTTCTTCTTTCTATCAGCATATCTTCAAAATCCAGTAGGTACCAACGACGCTCAAGTAAATCCAAATTTAGCATCGTGGGCTTCCCCTACTATTATATGAGCTATGAACATTACTATACCTATCTAAGTTATCCTTACGACAAATTAATAGTAGTTCTTGGCAGATTACTTTTGTAATACTAGAGACAAAGTAAATGGTTACATCTGGAATATCTCAATATGATTATGTAACAAAATGGACGTTGCAGTTAAAAGATAAAAGACAAGATTATGTGCTCCGAACAAAATTCTTTGCAACATAGCATAAAGACAATTTAATTTTATTTACTAGGGGTTGTCATTATTCTATTAATTACATAAATCTTTGGCATAAGGAAAACAAAGTAAGGACCTACAAACATAATACCACTTGACCTTCTTGTGTGTCAATCGCATTCGGATAACACTCACATCAGCTGATACTCGTGTAGTCGTTTTGACACAGCAAGTTTAAAATTTCCTCTTGCTTTCAATTGAAAACAAAAGAAGATCAATAAAGAAACAATGGATGTCAATAATAATACAAATATTCTGTTGCTAACAATATGTGAACAGCCTTTTAAAAAGTGTCACAATATGTTTAAGCGGGTTGTGTAAATTAAATTAAATAATTTTTTACTTAATTATTAATCCATTTATATTTTCATACTTTTCCAATCTTTTGTTCATCCTATAAAATTCTTTAACTCGTCGAGTACCGTCATTATAGACACAATTATAGAACAATAGGTTGCGGTCACCGGTGACCGCTTGGTGTTTGACAGTTTAAACTGTCAAACACCGGTGACCGCTTGGTGTTTGACAGTTTAAAGAAATATTAGCTCTCGACCATTTTTTTTATGCACAAATTTTCTAAAACCTTTTTTTTTTTTTTTTTTTTTTTTTTTTTTTTTTTTTTTTTTTTTTTTTTTTTTTGAGGGGGGAAAATCATCCAATGACTTCTCCCGCCCGGGTGAGGCGGGAGGGAGTGTCAGACTCTTACTGACTAAAAACCACCCCGTTCCTACTCCTGCACTTCGAGCCGGAGCCCCGGCAACCCGTTAAGTCTTCCGCGGCTCCGTATCGGCATCAGCCCTGTTAGGCCCCATCTGTGGTGGTCTGATGGCTCCTTGAGGCGCGCGCGGAACGCGACGCGCCGTACGCTCGGGCCTGGTTCTGGTCGGGCGGCGAGTCACCCGTGCTCGCCGTCCGCAGGCCCGTGCTTACGGTGGCCGGAGATCGTCTCGCGATCCCCGACGCCCGGAGTGTCTCTCGCGACGGCCGGGTCGTGAGGAGGTTCGTTCCCTCACGCGCTCCGCCTCCTCCTTAGCTAGCATGACTGCTTCGCAGAAGGAGGAGACGGCATCCCAGTGCCCCTCGCTCCGTACCATGGTCTGAACCAGAGCCGGACGCGAGAGGTCGCAAATTTTCTAAAACCTACCATTATTAGAGATATACTACACAATTGGGTACTTGCCCACTAGTCAAAGTCAATATTTTTTTCGAACTGTTAAAAGCGACAGATTTCTATGAATTTTGTACGAGATTGTGTATTGTGACGTCACGTTTTATTAGCGTTAAACAGCATAATATATGTGCTATGCTTAAAAAAAATCTGGACAATTATTAAAATGAATTTGGTTGTAAAATTAATTAGTGAAATTGTGATTATTTTTTTATATTTTATCGCATTGAACAGTCAAAAGAATTTATTTTTTAATATGGCAAGTACCTAATGCTACAAAATATTTAATTTCGTATTATTTTGCAGATGTTGATGCCAGAGCATTGAAGCCTTCTTTTGACACCAAGAAAGTAACTTTGAGGAAGAACACATTGTGTCGTATTGAGGAAACCGCCTATACTACTGTTGTCCATAACATCAGATCTGTGATGAAAGCCTTCCCCTGCCGTGCCTGTTTCAAGAATATCTGTGAATAAATAAACTTTAATTTAATACTTCGAATGATATTTTTTTATTTGAAGACGCAAGACGTACATCGAAATCCTAAAAGCTGCTCACACTGTCTTTCTAAGATAAACTGTCACACAACAAAGTTAAATAGTCAATATAAATGCCGATCACTTAATTTATATGTTTTGAAGTAAGTAGGTAAATGTAAATATTTTTGATCCAAAAGTTGATATTTTTTTCACCTATACCCGCAACAACAATCTGTGGATCACACAAAGAGTTGTTCCACGCGGGAATCGAACCCGCGACACGTTGTACGGCAGCCAGTTGCCCAGCCACCGCACTAACCTTGCAGTCAAATCATCCATTGGTGCATACATAAACTGAACTTGAGACGTTAAAATAATTAATTATTTAATATCAACACCTAGTTAATTTAAAGCTGTGACTATGTTACATATTACCTATAGCGGATTTTTACTTCATATCTACATTGAATTATATATTTCCAGTTTAAACTGTCAAACAAGCGGTCACCAGTGACCGCAACCTATTGTTATATAATTGTGTCTATAATGACGATACTCAATGAGTTAATTGCTTACATACAAAAGAAAAACCTGCACCATGTTTTTCAAACTCTGGGTAAGACTGATGAATAAGTACTGGACACTGGAAAGATTTTTAATATTACAAAATACTTAATTTAGGTAAATAAGAATTTTACGTGAATCAAAAACTATTTGACAACATTGAAACCCCTTTTTAGTACTCGTTTTATTTATACTTTAGTTTTTCAAGATAGAAACTTGTTCTGGACGACTCGTACGTTATTTCTCGTCCCGAAAGTCCTCGCACGACAAGCGTTCCGTTAGAAATAGTTCAGAGATAGATGACCTTCGAAACACATCTTTATCGTCGACCCTGTTGGCAGCTTAGTGCATTGGCAACTGCTAACTCGTTCATCAAACTACTTTATGATGTCCTTTCGTCATAAATTCTCTGCTTATTATTGTGTTCACGTGCCTCCACACATCATCTATATTATTATTATTATTGTTCTTGCGGTCAGAAAACACAGTTTTTAGAGCTACCTACCTAAAAGCCTAGTATTATTTAGGTTACGCGTTCAAGGATAGGAATTCGTTCGGAAAATGTCAGTATTCTTATATCTTACCTAGGTAATACGTTTTGATTTGTATCCCTTACGTGCCGATGGGCCTTAGTCATTTTATTTTCCGTTTGGTTGGGTAGAAGTATGCCTAGGTATATTGCTATAGGCACTCAGTGTTCGCCAGTTATGTCATAACCTAGTAAAGGTGTGGTGTGTTTGTGTCTATTGCCAAACATCGTATCTAAATGTTATATCCAACTGGAATTATAAACTGGATGGAATTAGTTCGCAGCGTTAATGTTAAGAACCAAATACTTAAAAGTGTTTTCATTTAATCAATTAACGAAGTACCTAGAAGATATTATTTCTAGCGATCGTCATGTAAACTTGAACATCTCCAGGTGAGGTTATTATTATGAAATAAGCAAGGTCAAAATACTTATGAAAAAATGTAGATACTAACATCATAAAGTTCCTACTTTTACGTTGGAACTAGGGTCTTTTATAAACTACTTCGATAATATCAGCCTATCACCTAGTAATAGGGAGATCACGTGAGCGCATGATTCTATTTTACGCATAAAAAGCCTAAGAGCGAAGGCAATTTCTTTTCCAGATAAGTTGAGAAATTTCGGGAGCAAAACACTTAAGTTCTTCCACACAACCCGCCAATAGTGACATCGAGCTCATTTTATATTGTAAAAACATGACACAACTACATAAAACAGTCGTTTCTAAACACGAACAGAGTATTTTGAGGCACCTTCACACGTTTGACAGAATAAGCCTCGTACACACATGTGTCACGAATGTATCTCCACATAAAAAATAACGTTGAACGTTTGAACTCCGATATTAACTTGACGGGAAAACGGAACGAAGATGACGTAACGTGTGAAGCAACCTTTTTTTTTAAGGGGGGAAATCATCGAATGACTGCTCCCGCCTGGGTGAGGCGGAAGGGAGTGTCAGACTCTTACTGACTAGAAACCACCCCGTTCCTTCTCCTGCACGTCGAGCGGGAGCCCCGGTTACCCGTTAGGTTCTCCGTGACGTGTGAAGCAAGCTTTATGTGTCATTTGTGTGATTTCAATGAAAATGTCCAAATGTTCTTCCTAGCTGAATTGCTTCTCGTTTGACAATGAGGCAATGGAATGTTCTGATGTTTTAAAAATCCATATTGAAAGGAAAGTAATAGGATGATGAAAAAACATCTTCTAAAAGAATAAGTAAATTGAGCCCAATTCTTATTGTGATTCAAAATAAGTAACCATGTACTTTCCAGACAAAAAAAATGATATCGTTAAGTTTTTCTTGTACTTTTCTTTTCCGCCAATTGTTAAAAATCTAACCTGAATTTACCGAGAAAGAAAAACTATATTCAATAGCCAGAGGGCAAATTAAAACCCGTTAATGAAAGTTTAAAAACAAAGTAAAACTAAAGTTATATGAATTACATAAAAAGTATACTCAATTTCAAGGTAGACCTTACTAGAGGTAGATGGAGACTTAAAATAAACATTCTGGAAAATATTCATAGCTGCTAACTTATTTAAAGTTTAGGAACAAATAATTTATGTAAACTTACAAAGAAATTGCTACATAACATAACATCAGGCTTTTTGTTCCTGAAGGGGAAGGCAGGGGTCCACACTGCACATATATAATTTTAATGGGACAAGCCGGTAAACGAGCAGATGGATCACCTGATGCGAAAGGATTTGAAGATTCCTACGAAATTCCTTATAATTTGCGGTAACCTCACTGACAAAAATATTGTGTTTCGTTTGTGAGTGATTTTTGACATTCGTGCAAAAGCATGGCTGGCTCATACTTAGATATAATAAACTAACAAACTATAATTTTTATCAGTTATATTCTACGTACCATGTAGGTTATAGGGGACGAGCCTATATGCGTGATACCGGATACTTTTCTTTTGCAGGTTCGTAAATTTTTAGGAAAGTCAAAATCAAAGTCAAAATCATTTATTTCAATTAGACCAGGAAGGCACTTTTGAACGTCAACAACAAAAAATTGGAAGTGAAGCTAGTTGCTCATTCCAAGGTGTAGATTCCTATGGAGAAGAACGAGCAAGAAACTCCATAGGTTACTCTTTTTCAATCGGGTTCACAATACAATTCTCTAGTTACATAGTTTTGTTGATTCGAATGTGTGACAACAATGCAACACCGAAATGCAGTCAAAGAGATTGAAAAAGAAAATAACCTTGAGAACAATAAAATCATACAGTGGAGCTCACCAGTCCCAATCGACGGCGCCCGTTCATGAACATGACACGTACCCCAGCACCGCCCAAACATTTTAAGTTATGGGAATCGGACCCGAGCGAATTTGATATGTAAGCTATTCTAATTACACACAAACAGGCGTGATGAAACAACCAAACATGTAAACATAAATTATGTTGATTGTATGTCTTTACGTTACCACATTGTCTAATTACAAGCCCACCGGAGCTTTGTACCTAATTTGGCAATTTTGTGGTGCATCTGTTATTACCTACTTAAGTCTATAATAAATACTTTATTATCAGAGGAAACAGGGCAATGTGTATAGTAATAATATAGTTTCTATTGATTTAACAATATAAACCATATTACGAAAACAATTTGATAACCCATTTATTTATTTATATTGAGATAGGTCCGGATATATTGTTGTGACCATCAGTTTAGGCAGTTTCAATGTATTGTTAAGCATATTATTATTATGTGTTCAGATTTTTAAGTGTAGTTATTTCCAAGACTAAGCATGGTTAGAAATACAACATTAATATGTAGTTCTACAATACAACATCTGCAACACCTAAAAGTTGAATAATGAGAATACCTACCTAAGGCGTTAAGTTGTTTTATATATCGTACGGATTTTTTTTTCAAGGGGGGAACATCATCGAATGACTGCTCCCGTCTGGGTGAGGCGGGAGGGAGTGTCAGACTCTTACAGACTAAAAACTACCCCGTTCCTTCTCCTGCACGTTGAGTCGGAGCCCCGGTTACCCGTTAGGTTCTCCGCGACTCCCTGTTGGGCCCCATCTGTGGTGGTCTGATGGCTCTTAGAGGCGCGCACGGAACGCGACGTGCCGTACGCTCGGGTCTGTTTCTGGTCGGACGGGGAGCCACCCATGCTGGCCGTCCGCAGGCCTGCCCTTACGGTGGCCGGAGATCGTCCTGCTATCCCCGACGCCCGGTGTGTCCTTCGCGATGGCTGGGTTGCGAGGAGGCAGCGCTTCGGTGCCTCACGCGTCCCGCCTCCTCCTTAGCTAGCATGACTGCTTCGCAAAAGGAGGAGAAAGCATCCCAGTCCCCCTCGCTCCGCATCATGGCCTGCACTAGGCCCGGACGCGAGAGGTCGCCATCGCCGTTCACTTCCCTGAGGGCACGGCGGTGCTCAGCCCACGCAGGGCATTCCGCTACAGTGTGTTCCACCGTGTCCTCAGGGCGGTCCTCGCAGTGATGACACCCGGGCATTCCGGCGCGCCGAAGCTCATCTCGCCACGCACTTATCTGGCGCGGCAGCTGATTTTCGCCCCGGCGACGTGCCTCCGCGTGCATGCAGTACACGCGCGCGAGCACCTTCGCCTCCAGGTCCCACGGTGGTAATCCAGCAAGGAGGTTCGCCGATTCCTTGTAGATCGTGCAGTATCCTCGGATCATTCGGATCGCCATGACCCTCTGTGCCATGAGCAGGTGGAACGCCGCAACAGGTTCGGCGCCCACACAGGGGCGCCGTAGAGGGCCATGGACCGCACGACCCGACGTACACGACGTATATCCTCCGGCAGGAGGCGTTTGGCCCCCCGAGGTTGGGGAGGATGCGCTTAAACGTAGCCCCCGCCCTCTCTAACTTTGGAGCCAAACGTCGGAAGTGCTCTATGAAGTTCCACCGACTGTCGAGGACGAATCCCAGATAC